AGGGGGAAGAGGATGGGAAGAGGCGAATAAAATAGTGATTCCGAAACTCCGAAGAATTCTCTCAGTCTTGCTTTCATGGAGAGAGGAGAGAGAACCGCCATCCGTCTTCATCGGTCGACAGCGCGACGGGCGGCGTTTGCCTCGAATGCTCACCGAAGAGTTTTCTTCTTCTTCTTCTTTTACTTCATTTTCATGCTTTTTTTTCGTGGATCTTCTCTTTTATTTCACCTCTTCCCCCTCGCTCGCTCCCCCTCTCACTCTCTCTCTCTCTCTCTCTCTCTCTCTCTTTCTGTCTGCTCATTCGTAGCTTACTCACTTGATTCTTTGAAAGTCTACGGCAACTCGAGTGAGTTGCGTCCAGCCTAATCCTTTTGATATTATATTTCGGATCAGAAAATTTCTTGAACCAAAGTTGAGATTATTTTTATCCCGAGATATTGTAGATCACTTTTTCACATTACTCAATGTAATGCCGCTGTAACAGTAATCTAAAATTAGTTGATTAATATTTAAGAATAATTAGCGGGGAGATGAAAAGCCAACATTACGTTTCAACTATAAGATCGACGTTGACAAATTATTGGGAAATTAAAAATTTTTAACAATTGAATAGAGAATAATTAGAATTTTATAACTTTTGCAATAGATTCTCATTATATGGAAATCGTTAAAGAAAGTTGAAAGAAAACTTTTGGCGATGGTAAGAATTATTTACAATTCTTTAATTCGGTAGAGTACAGTAGAAATAAGTATGGGGAAGGAGCTTAAAAAAAGATTGATAAGCAATTTCTTGAGCACATTTCTAAACATATTGTTAAAGCTTCGTTCATTACTATTGTAACGACTTATTTGATTATTTAGTATTGTTAAGCAAAATATCTTATTAAAACGTATGGATATTACAAAATCTCTTATCCCGTGTACAATTTTCTATTGTTAATGATTAATGAATAAGTAGCATTCATCATGCTCCGATATAACGTATAAATTACATAAAATATGTCTGTATGATATAAAAGCGCAACTGTGCGAACGGCAAACGATTATCTTGAGCGTAGTAGTGGCAACAAACTGCTTTCGGTGTTGCAAAACGAGACTCGCAAAATTAACATTTTAAAAACTCGTCTTACGCAGACTTTGCATTTTTTTTCTTCTTTTTTTTTCTTTTTTTCCCTCGGCCTTAAACTCCCCCTCATCGCCCCCTCTGCGGAGATTAAAGCTCGAGAGTTTCTCACTCCTCGTGCCACTCCTCCGCTCGGCGCAATTAATATTCTGATTCGGAGTTGGCGAACCGACACTAAGAACGAGATGGAAAGAGAGTGAGAATGCGGACTGATCACATCGCGGATACGACGCACGCGGCACACGATATACGTCATACGTAAACTCGTCGCATTACGCGGTTAAACCTCCGAAAAATGGCGTTATTCAGTCGGCGATAAGGATTATAAGGAGAGGAGGAGGAGGAGGAGGAGGAGGAGGAGGAGTAGGAGGAGGAGGAGGACTTCTTGCTATGAGCGAATAAAAACTTTGACGCTGCGGGTGCTATGCAAATATAAACGTACCCCGAGGGGATTGGCAGAGTTTTATTTTATTTTTTATTTCTCGTTTCTCGTTACCTTCTCGTGCTCTTGACTTAACCGACGACGAAAGTCGCTGCTGATATTTTTATGCTCGGTAGGTAATTTTGCAATGCTGATTAATCACAATTGCGTTGGATGTGTGTCGAATGAATTATTGGAAAAATCGATGGGCCCTTAATCATTTAAGGCAAATAGCGAACGCGCGCGGCTAATGTGTATTATTTTAGTTGTAAATCAAAATTTTATTAATGCGCTAGGAGGGAGCTCCCGTCGTATTTATAGAATTCAGGGATGAGGAATCCGTGATTCCGACGACGATCGCAGCAAGAAGATACGGCCGGAGTTTCGGAGATAGTGACAAAGAGCTGTAACGAAAGAAATAGATGATGGAGGTGGGATTGGGAGGGGGTGGGGTAGGGGTAGGGGGTAGGGGGGAAGGAGAGGAGAGGGGTGAGCCACGTCCACGGGCCCGCTTGGTTTTTTAAACTTTTTCTCGGAATATACGTAAGCATAAGATTCGAAGGAGAGCATTATTAATGTGGGCCTGGGAAGGAAGCGAGCGTTCGCGTAGCGAAACCTTAAAACACGCGAGAGAGACGTCGCTTTGATTCTCGACTCGCATCTTCCTTCGCCTCTGCACCGGCAATGATATATAAAGTCCTTGTGGGTCGAATGACGGTAAACAGCGGTA